CCCCCGAGGCTGCTCTCTCTCTTGCTAGCGTGCCTGTTTTCCATTGCAGAGGGCAGGGATGCGAGCGTACGCTCACAGTTGAATTCTGCCAACTGCTAGAGTACACTCGCATCGCTTCCCTAGCAAGGGAAAACAGGCACACTAGCAAGAGAGAGAGCAGCCTCGGGGGAAAAAAGGCAGGGCTTCGGAGCAAGCTCGAGCACAAGCTCGCTCTCGCTTCCAGTAGTTTGCTACGGCTCTAAGGACATCAGGCAGGCCCCGTCGCTAGCAATCTTTAGGAGGAGCTTGAAAACGTGGTTGTTCCAGTGTGCCTTTCCAGAATAAGGAAACTCCTAGCATTATGTCCCAARGCACTTTATRAGAGATCCAGGATATCTGCATGCCCATCCCCCTCCAAACACCCCACCTTGTCATGCCCAGCACTTTTAATTTTAATTATTACATTTGGCCCGGCCATTGTTTTTAATTGTGTCATTGGGTGTTGTTAATGTTATTGCTTTGTTTTTTGAGTTATTGTGTTGTTGTTGCTGCTGCTGTTTTTATTGTTGTATTTGGGCTCGGCTTCTTGTAAGCCACACCGAGTCCTTCGGGAGATGGTAGCGGGGTACAAATAAAGGTTTATTATTTATTATAGAACACACTCCCAAGTAAGTTGCTATAGGACCACAGTCTTAAAAAACCATGGACTGATATCCAGCTTTCAAATCAAATGGATGAGAGGCCACCACAAGCAACTCAACTGGCATTGTGCTGCAGAATCTTCCTTCGTCTAAGGAAAAAAAATAGATACCCATAAACGTATCTCCATCAGCCTTTCCAGATGGAGCAAGATACACACTTACCTGGCAAAATTAAAGTCTATGGTAGAGAATCGGGCTTGAATCAATCCCCAGCAAGCCCACAGGAAATGGGAGGCCTAGGAAAAGAATATAAATTATCCAGGATACATATATTTTCAGCGAACAAGAGAAATAACTGTGAATACTGATGTAACAACTGAAAAGCAGTGGAGTGATGTGAAAATGCTCTTGTTGCCATCAAGACCAAAATGTATTTCCCTGCCTATGATAGTCCAAACTCTGTAAAACTGATTCTGTAAATGTATAATACTGTTGAACTAGAGAAAAACTTGCTATGGTGAGCATCTATTGCTTTGTGGTTGTATTACCAGCACTGACTCCTTCTACAGTCATTAGACATGACACATGGAAGCATGAGTAGACCAATCGGCAGCCCATCTTAGTTCCAGTATGCATGACTGCAATTCCCATGACGGCCTTCTATGGAACAGTTATGAGTTTTATCTTTCAGCCAGCGACACATCATCTGAGACTCTATCATATGACGTTGCTGGGAAAGGAGTCTCCTCGTGCTGTTATTATCACACCCTGTGATAATACTGTGTCTCCCTGGAGGATGAGCACACATGGTTTCATCACAGAAGGACTTGGAGCAAAAATCCAAGGCCTTGCTTTTACAACCTTAATATATAGCAGTGCTGGCTTCTCACATTGGTTACTAAGCAAAGTAATACATGCTAGCTTCTACAAAGAGAAAGTGAGGTTAAAAAAAGGAGAAAGATGGATCTGCTAAAGATCAGCAAGAGGTGCAGAAGAACATCTACCATGTTTGGAAGGCAAAGTGCCTGGAGCATAAAGAGGAAAGGTGATTGTCAGAGAAAGCAGTGAAAAAACTGATGTAATGAAAAATAACCAAAAAAAAAACCCTTATGTGATTAACATTCTGTTAACCAAAAAAAAAGTAAAAGCATTTGAATTGCACACTCTTTATCTCCAGTGTATATTGTTTTTCCTCACTTTTCACTTGACCTCTCTTCACAATGTGCATACTCACTAAAGCAAACTGGTTCACTTGCACATAGAGGCTCTCCAGTTCTTCTTCATGCACAATTCCACTTCTTTCTTCTTGGCCCTCTTGGCCTAGTTTCTTGTAGGCCTGCAAGTAGTATCTCAGCCACTGGATCTGAACCTCCTTGCTTGGATACAGGCTGTAATCTACCTCATTCAACCCTGTTGATGATGGAAGAAACATAAGACGGCATGGCCCTTATGGGCAAAAAGCTTGAGAATGGGTGAAAACTAGGCTCTTAAGCATATAATATCAGGTTCAGTGAGGATGCTGCGAGGATGCCAGTCCATGCTAAATTAGCTTCCATAGTTCAGGTTGGACTTCAACAAAAGCATTCAGATAAGGAAATGTTACCTCCTCTCATGGCTGTTAAATGCAGAGCTCCAAATTCTGAAGAATGGAATTAAGTTTTAATCTGAACTTTGAAATATCTTTCCAAGGCACTGGATCTGACATATCTGAATTAACTGGCAATTCTTGTGCTCTTGCTTCAAATTCTCCCCCTTTTTTTATCCTTAAGGCCTTTCTCTCTTTGGCTCAGCACAAACAAGAATAGAAAGCTTTACCAAAACGACAACACCTACCAACACCAATCAAAAGACATGGTAAATCTAATTTATCTTTCTCCTCTTCATGGAAAAATGATAGGCCCTGCACAAGAAGCAAGAGTTGTTTGGATCCCGTCCATAAAATTGTGCAATAAGACAAGGCAAGAACAACCTTGTCTGGAAGCACATGGACTTAAAAAATAAAGTGGTTCACAATGCTCTAGTTCTGAAGAAATACTACCAACTTGGCTTTCTGCGGTAGATCTGACAGCCTCCTTCTAAAAAAACTTCCAGATTGACCTTGTTTGGCTTGTATGATCCCTGTGGAACAGAGCACAAGCTGCGCGAATAGCAGACATAATTAGCCATACAATGATTTCCTGTATTACACAAGCTCAGCAGAGAATAAATACAGAGAACCTGGGTAATTACATTCAGGTCCTTCACAAGGAGCTTGTTTCTAATCCATCTCTTGAGTCACAATTAGGGGAAGGAAATATTCACACAACAACCTAAAATGATGATTGGCAGTAAAGGTACTACCTTGATCATATATCAGAAAAAATATCCTTGTTGGTCAGCCAGATATTTTGCAATTTTTTTCTTTAAAGAAACATGACTTTGACAAGGGGACAATCACCTTCCAAATTCCCAAAGGAGTCCAAATCAGGAAGGCCTCAGTCACCATCACTAAAACCTAACATAAAGGCACCAGTATTCCTTTCCATTCATTCCAGAAATTCTTAGCAGAAAAAATGAGAGCAGGTAAAAAAGGCATACTGGATTGTAAATAAAAGATGTCACAAGAGATTGATGCCTCATGTTGTAATGATTGGCATCTGAGGCTCCATTGGAGGGAGCAGATAGGTAAGCAACAGTACTTGCAGTTTATGAGCCCTGACATTATATGCTGTGACAGGATCAAATTTATAATGGCAGAAAGCTTGAGGTCTGCCTCAAGATCCCACTCATATTAAGCATAGTTGTACAAACAGTACACATACCTTAGGGATAGGGAAGCTTTGGATTTCCAAATGTTTTGGGCAACACCCATAGACAGAAAGACTAATAGGCATGGATTGTGAAAGCTGGAATAAAAAACATCTGGAGGGCCAGATTTCTCTCACCCTAGTAGATTTAGTTTATGTCTCTTCAGACCAGAGCTTAGAAATAATTCGTTAAAATTAATGTTAACCCTAATTCATTTTCATTTCTACACTGGGTTTTAATCAGTCATTTAATTCATTTTTTGCATTGATTTTGAGTAATTCTGAATGCTTCATTAGCTATTAAGGTAACAAATTCATTTTAGAAATAGCTCCTAAAATTATAATATTGACAAATTGAAACTCTTTAAAAGTTTCATATTAAAATATTAATACTAAAGCTAATATTTCCAAGTTCTGTTTCAAGAAGATAATATGAGGAGGAGGAAAATCATTAGATGAGCTCAACTCACCAGCAAATTCATTGAAATGATTCCCAATGTCATATGCTTGATAGTTGTAGCCAGTGTATTCATAATCTATGAACCGGACATGACCTGAAAAGGCAGAAAGAGGAGTCGTTGGGAGAAACACATGAAGCAGGATGGCCGATTTTTAAAAGAAGCAAGAAAACTTCTCTGGCATTTTTGTTTTGAATGTTTTTTGCAGGGCAAGAAGGGTCTGTGAGTTTGGCAAAGCGTTATGTATTTGTGAGATTAAGGTAACAAACCTTCTTCTTTGTTGTAGATGATGTTCTTGCTCAAAAGATCATTGTGGCAAAAGACTACTGGAGATCGAAGCTGGGAGAGATGCTCTTTCATCCAGTGAATTTCTTCTTCTAAGACCTCTAGACTGGGAATGTGCATTTCCTGATGGAGGCTTGGGAAGAAAGACAAAGTGATGCCATGTCCACTTGAAGCTATTCAACATTTCTTAGCACAAGAGATGCATTTTCCATAAGTACCAAGATTTTCAAAGCAGAGGTCCTTTATTTTGGAGAAAGACACCACCTGGAACATTCCTGGTCAAATTTGGCACTCACCAGATATGTTCAATCACAACCCATATTGCAAAGGCAGGTATGGCACTGGGGTCATACCCATCTTGCAATATGACTTCTATCATCACCATCATCAGCTGGGCTGGATGAGTAGTTGTCCAAGATATCTAGAGTTGGGGAGACATGCCATTTGACAGACAAATCCTAGATTATTCCATGAGAATATTTCTTCATTAATGTTCATTATAAAATGGCTTCAAAATAAATGAACCCACTTGCATTCAGATTTTTATCTTCAAATCCCCAGTGGGTCACAGTGAACAAATTATACACTCGTAGCATGATCTGTCTGAAAGATCAGATAATGCCCAACTGGACCCTCTGGTGCCCTAGCTACTTCTGTCTGAAACTAGAGGTTAAATGGGCAAACCCAGATGGCAGAGGTGAAGAATGTCCCAGATATTTTGGACTACAAATCCTGATATCTCTTACTACAGGCCAAAGTATGAAATTGGCTGGGAATACCGGAAGCTCTATATCATGTAGATGGTATAATTTTCCTTTTCCATTTTATGGAGTTAATATAATGCAATTCTTCCGTCTTGACTCAAAAGTTACATAGTTACAACTTCCATCATTCTCATCACTGGCAGGTCAAGAAGTTGATCATAGTCTGATACCTATATATACCTAGAGCTAATGTCCTTTTTAAAAATGACTGCCAACCACTACTCCCTGGATGCTTCTTTTAAAAAAGGTCCTAGCACAACCAGTCAAAAGACACAGAATAGCTATTTCATTTTTTACTTCACAACATATTTTTGCAAGATGAAGGTGAGAAAACAGGATAAGAATACCTGAAGTGCCAGAAAAGGAATGTGAATTTGGCAGGATAAATACACAATAAAAATCTCATCCGAAAGAAACATTTTATCATAAGATTTGAAATTCCATAGTTCAAGGGTTGGTAAAATGGCATTCTTGGAATGACTTAGGTGCGTTTTTCTGTGTAAACCATTCCTCAAAAATTATATTTCAAGTTTCTCTTCTTCTGAAAGTAATGTGTGGTAGGACAACTTGTGGCTCTGCACGAGTCCCTGCCTTTGAAGGCCAAATTTCAAATGTGAAGATGTCATAACAAAATGGCTTTTATGAAAGGAGCAATTCACCATACAGCTTGCTTGGTGGAATCCTCAGACTAAAAGTTGCCCAAAAAGTTAAGTACATGTTACAGTCATGCTGAAGTACAACTGTGGACCATGGATTGGCAAATTCGTGCAGGTGAATAAATCAAGAAAAGATGCTCATGCTGCTATGTAGCCACAATTGGTGACTGTGTGACTGCTATGGAATTTCAGCTTTGTGCAATAAAGTCTTAAGATAAATTTAAACTGACTATTAAAAGGTTAACATACAAACTTATTTTAAAGAGATGAGCTGCTTACTTTGGAATTGTTTTTGGAAGTTTGCCACGTTGAATTCTTAATTTTCTTATACCTCCTTAAAATTGAGCCAAATCTGTATCACAGCCACCAACTCACCATCTGTTTCGATCTCAAATTTGTCATCATAAATCATAGTATTCAGGAAAATTGTTCTGATTTTTGTCATTTGGCAGAAAGACCTGAACCTCCATTGCTTGCTTAATTTACAGTTAGAAGGACCATAGGCCGCACTGAAAATGTAGTATGCATTATAACTCCTGGTCTATGATGGGATGTTTTTTACTATACGTCTTCCAAGTTGTGCTTACACAATAAGAACTGTTGGCTTCAACTAGAGATAAACTTTTAATTTTACCTGGGATTTGATGACTTTCTGGTAAACTCTGTTTTCACGAGGTTAAAGTACTTATAAAGTCTGTGCCATAGGCATGGCTTGGGGAGACTCCCATTGTTATGGATCCTGTGCATTTTAGCCATTTCCTGGGCTATTAGTCTACAACAAAACGCAGTGACAAAGGTATTAAGACTTGGCTCTTTGAGCAAGCGTTTGCAGATACAATATAACAGACATGGAGAAGAAATTGAATGACTCGAAGATGCTATTGGATAACATTTTTAACTAGGAGACTCAAATTGATATATGTTTTATTGATATTGATTGTTTTACTTGCTTTTATACTTAAATTGACTGTTTTAAATTGTATTTTGTGTTTTTTGATACTGACTGTAAACCGCCCCGAGTTGCCTGTGCACTGAGAGGGGCGGTATATAAACGTAGCAATAAATAAATAAATAAATAACTGTGGTAAGATGGAAACATGGACAAAACTACAGTCAAATGATCACTAAAATTATCTAGCCTGATTCCACTTTGCATATTCTGGTTCTTCCTTTTAGACTGCTTATAGTTTTGCCACTTCTTTAAAAATACGGACCCTGTAGCTTTCTATTATTTACAACATTTATATGCCGCCCTTCCCTCCCCGAAGGGGACTCAGAGTGGCTTACAAGGTATAAATACATACAATATGTTATATTATTAGCATAGTACAATATCAATATTAAATATTACTATATTGTACTATACTATTATATTGTAATATTTCTACTGTAGTTTGTTATTACAGCACTTACTATAGTAAATTGGTTGGTCAATCAATGCTACCATCAGGATCATAATCAATAGCATGACAGTAAAGATATTAAAGTCAATGCAAATAAATCTATGTTTCAATTATATATGAATACTAATTTAACATTAATGAATGTGGGGACTGTATTTGTTAACAATGAACAGCAGCATTTCCACTTATTAAGTAATGGAATTAATTTTTTCAAGTACTAATTAGTCAATTATGAGCTGAGAAGGAATCTAATTACTAATAATGAATACAGTGTTATAAGAATAGCATTCAGATATAAAAACAAGCCTCTTAAGCTCTTCGGTACACAGCCTTGGAAAACTGGCTTCATCTGACAACTGCCCCCTGGGAGCTCAGAAGTTATCCATTCCTGATACAATCTACACAAGAAAATAGGCAACCAATATTCTGTGCGAATTATTTAACTTGAAATATTTTTAAATATAGTGTGGCCCCCAAATGTGCATGACATACTTTTAAATATAATATGATCCCCTGGATGCCTGAATCTGTGGACAATAGCAACAATAGCAAACTTGGGCTAGAAGCATATCATAGAATAGCACTGAAGGTCCTAAAGAAGCCCACAAACACTTGTGTGGACAAATGAAACCACTGATATTGAATCCATGGATAAGGGGATTGTACTGTATACTCTTCTTTCCAACAGCTGATTAGAGGTCACATGAAAGTATGTTTGCAGGTAAAATGTAGACCTCTCTATGCACTGTATCTGGTCTCTGGTATAGAGGTTCCACGTCCCTGACATCAGAGGACTTCCACTGACTGATTTGCTTTTTTAAAACCTACAGCTAACGCTAAGACTAAATTCAGGTCTAACAAGGCCCTGTCCTATTACATGATTAGTAAGCCTGGGAGTGAATAAAATTGCTTTTTACCACTGATCCTCCAGCAAAGGATCACCGCCTTGTCGGGGCGCTGGAGCTTGAGCACCTCAATGATGTCATGAGCGAAACCGTGAAGGGCCACCCAAGACGGGACGGTTGTGGCAGAGAGGTCAGACCAAGCGTGATCCCTGGGGAAGGCAATGGCAAACCACCCCAGTATTCTTGCCAAGAAAACTAAATGGACCAGTACAACCAGAGATATGTCGGTATGCCATTGGAAGATGGGACTCCCAGGTCGGAAGATGGCCAAAATGCTACTGGGGAGGAGCAGAGGATAAGTTCAACTAGCCCCAGAGGTGATGACGCAGCTAGCTCAAAGCCGAAAGGAAGGCTAGCGGCCGACGGTACTGGAGGTGAACGACGAATCCGATGCTCTAAAGATCAACACACCATAGGAACCTGGAATGTAAGATCTATGAGCCAGGGCAAATTGGATGTTGTTATTGGTGAGATGTCAAGACTAAAGATAGACATTCTGGGGGTCAGCGAACTGAAATGGACTGGAATGGGCCACTTCACATCAGATGGCCACCAGATCTACTACTGCGGACAAGAGGAACATCGAAGAAATGGAGTAGCCTTCATAATTAATAAGAAATTCGCTAAAGCGGTGCTTGGATACAACCCAAAAAATGACAGAATGATCTCAATTCGAGTGCAAGGAAGCCTTTCAACATTACAGTGATCCAAATATACGCCCCAACCACAGCTGCTGAAGAAGCAGAAGTAGATAACTTCTATGAGGATCTGCAGGACCTACTGGATAATACACCAAAAAGAGACATTATTTTCATTAAAGGAGACTGGAATGCCAAGGTGGGAAGTCAAATGACAACTGGGATCACAGGCAAGCATGGTCTGGGAGAACAAAATGAAGCGGGACGCAGGCTGATAGAATTTTGCCAGGAAAACTCGCTGTGTATAACGAATACTCTCTTCCAACAACCTAAAAGACGGCTTTATACATGGACCTCAACAGATGGTCAACACCGAAATCAGATTGACTACATCCTTTGCAGCCAAAGGTGGCGGACATCCATCCAGTCGGTGAAAACAAGACCTGGGGCTGACTGTAGCTCAGATCACGAACTTCTTATTGCTCAATTTAGAATAAAACTAAAGAGATCAGGGAAAATACACAGACCAGTTAGATATGATCTCACTAACATTCCTAGCGAATATACAGCGGAAGTGAAGAACAGATTTGAAGGACTAGATTTAGTAAACAGAGTCCCAGAAGAACTATGGACAGAAGTCCGCGACATTGTTCAGGAGGCGGCAACAAAGTACGTCCCAAAGAAAAAGAAAACCAAGAAGGCAAAATGGTTGTCTGCTGAGACACTGGAAGTAGCCCAAGAAAGGAGGAAAGCAAAAGGAAACAGGGATAAGGGGAGATATGCCCAGTTAAATGCGCAATTCCAGAGGTTAGCCAGAAGAGATAAGGAACTATTTTTAAATAAGCAATGCATGGAAGTGGAAGAAGACAACAGAATAGGAAGGACAAGAGACCTCTTCCAGAAAATTAGAAACATTGGAGGTAAATTTCAGGCAAAAATTGGTATGATAAGAAACAAAGATGGCAGGGACCTAACAGAAGCGGAAGAGATCAAGAGAAGGTGGCGAGACTATACAGAAGATCTGTATAGGAAGGATAATAATATTGAGGATAGTTTTGACGGTGTAGTGAATGAATTAGAACCAGACATCCTGAGGAGTGAGGTTGAATGGGCCTTAAGAAGCATTGCTAACAACAAGGCAGCAGGAGACGACGGGATCCCAGCTGAACTGTTTAAAATCTTAAAAGATGATGCTGTCAAGGTGATGCATGCCATTTGCCAGCAAATATGGAAAACACAAGAATGGCCATCAGACTGGAAAAAATCAACTTATATCCCCATACCAAAAAAGGGAAATGCGAAAGACTGCTCAAACTTCCGTACAGTGGCCCTTATTTCTCATGCCAGTAAGGTAATGCTCAAGATCCTGCAAGAAAGACTCCAGCAATACATGGAGCGAGAGTTGCCAGATGTTCAAGCTGGGTTTAGAAAAGGCAGAGGAACGAGAGACCAGATTGCCAATATCCGCTGGATAATGGAGAAAGGCAGGGAGTTTCAGAAAAACATCTACTTCTGCTTCATTGACTATTCTAAAGCCTTTGACTGTGTGGATCATAATAAATTGTGGCAAGTTTTTAGTGGGATGGGCATCCCAAGCCACCTTGTCTCTCTCCTGAGGAATCTGTACAAGGACCAAGTAGCAACAGTCAGAACTGACCACGGAACAACAGACTGGTTCAAGATTGGGAAAGGCGTACGGCAAGGCTGCATCCTCTCACCCAACCTTTTTAACTTGTATGCAGAACACATCATGCGATGTGCGGGGCTGGATGAATGCAAAGCTGGGGTGAAAATTGCTGGAAAAAACATTAACAACCTCAGATATGCAGATGACACCACTCTGATGGCCGAAAGCGAGGAGGAGCTGAGGAGCCTTCTAATCAAGGTGAAAGAAGAAAGCGCAAAAGCCGGGTTGCAGCTAAACGTCAAAAAAACCAATATTATGGCAACAAGAATGATTGACAACTGGAAAATAGAGGGAGAAACCGTGGAGGCCGTGACAGACTTTGTATTTCTAGGTGCAAAGATTACTGCAGATGCAGACTGTAGCCAGGAAATCAGAAGACGCTTACTTCTTGGGAGGAGAGCAAGGTCCAGTCTCGATAAAATAGTGAAGAGTAGAGACATCAGACTGACAACAAAGATCCGCCTAGTCAAAGCCATGGTATTCCCTGTAGTCACCTACGGATGTGAGAGCTGGACCTTAGGGAAGGCTGAGCGAAGGAAGATAGATGCTTTTGAACTGTGGTGTTGGAGGAAAGTTCTGAGAGTGCCTTGGACTGCGAGAAGATCCAACCAGTCCATCCTCCAGGAAATAAAGCCCGACTGCTCATTGGAGGGAAAGATACTAGAGACAAAGTTGAAGTACTTTGGCCACATTATGAGGAGACAGGAAAGCCTAGAGAAGACAATTATGCTGGGGAAAGTGGAAGGCAAAAGGAAGAGGGGCCGACCAAGGGCAAGATGGATGGATGGCATCCTTGAAGTGACTGGACTGACCTTGAGGGAGCTGGGGGTGGTAACGGCCGACAGGGAGCTCTGGCGTGGGCTGGTCCATGAGGTCACGAAGAGTCGGAGACGACTGAACGAATGAACAACAACAACAACACCACTGATCAGATTAACAAGGAAGCCTTTTTTAAACCAGTGCTCTCCAGATATGTGAGACTACAACTTCCATAATTTCAAGTCAGCACTGCCATTTTGGCTAGGATTAATAGTACCTTTACTAACAGAGTACTTTGACTACACTTTGATTTAAGCATTGCCGGGCCCAATGGGGAAACCTTCATGTGCAGGAATATCTTAAAACAGTGGGTGGCCAAATCTTCATGGGATGCTGGTTCAAGCCAATGGTTGAACATGAAGATAAACATGTTCATAACACTCTTTCTCTCTGTAGCGATGTTCATACAAATCATTCTTTCCTTAATCCTAGTAATAGTGAAAAATGTGTATTGTGAGTGATGATGGTGGCAACATGACAACAAGGATACCTGAGGTTATTAAACTGTGGAGGCAATGCTGGCCACAGATTATGTATCCATGTTTTAGAAAAAATGTTTTCCCTGTTGTCACTTGTCAAAGTGATCAATTGTTTAGTTGAGTGAATACATAATCCCTCCCACTCCACACACACAACCTGAACATATTTGGCTGTCGGATATGTTCTGGCCCCAGGGCCTTCCCTGGCACAAACTCATAGCAGTAGCCATTCTCAAAGGTGCAGTAGAGATTAGGGGCACAGCCATGGTCTTGAAGCACTTGGAAATTTCGCAGCTCATTTGCTCGGTCCACAATCAGCTCTGTCTTCCTGCCGTACACCCGTACCAAGACTGCGTCTTTCATGTTCTCATCCATGAAGCAAGCCATGAGCTTGTTGGTGATGCCTTCAGTGAAGACCTTGGTGAAGAAAGAGGAAAGAGGTGGTTGTTAAGGTAACAGGATGATGGGACAATTATGGTGGCTCTGGGAAGAACAGAAGACTATTTGTTTCATAATCATGTGAGCTTGCTATGTTATAGTAAAGTGCTTGGAGGAATTCTTATGGAAAACATCACATGAAGACTGCAGCAGCTGTGTCAATTAAAAACATGCTATTGTGGGAGGGGGGAGTGAGTATGTTATCCTCCCATTTTTAAAAATAGAACTATCTTCATCCTACGTTCAACTGGATATGAAAACTACCACCTCTTCATTTTCCATTATTACTGTACTATTGCGATCAGGAATGGACAAATGTAGTTTCCCAGATATTGTTGAAATGCAGCTCTCCTGAACCCAAGCCACCATAACCAACAGTGAGGGCAGATGGGACCTGCAGTCCAAAAACATATGGAGGGCTACAGCTGATCACACATGGTCTGGGCTCTAGGATAGTAATGGGCCAGTATGGTGGATCTGTGTAACATTGTTCTGCCCTGAGACTTTCCAGACTTCCAAAGACTGTCAAAATATCTCCAAAATACAGCAAAACGTAAGTGGCCGGAAGTTCAGTTAGGTTCTGATTTTGTTTGTTTTGTTTTACTGTAAAAAAAAAATACTTCAGGGAAGACTCCTAGAGACTACCAGGAGAAGCAGTTCACCTATTTTGGCTATTCAAAATGGTCCAGACTATTTGGAGGCATCATAAACAACATAGGAGGAGCTGAATCTAAATGTTCACTTTGTATGGTAACAGAAACAAATGATGTTGGGAGGACTTCTATTGAGTTATTCAAAGAGTTACCTTTAAAAAGTAATGTCTTAATGTCAAAACTTGACTAGTTTCACAGGATTGTTTTGTCATTAAGTTTGAATGGGAACTCAAATAAGAAGTATGAGAATTTAACAAACAGACACACACTTATCTTTATTTTTGAGGGTTTGACGAAGGACCAGCAGTGGATGGGAATGGAAAAAATAAATGGGAAGCTGATTATCAGATATTTTAGTGGTGCTGTAGTAATGGCTGAATGAAAGGATGGGTTATATAATATCATTGCGATTAGCTCTTGTCCTCTTGACGCTGGCAGGGATGATGTAAATCTAGTTCTAATATTAGAACTGTGTGGATCTATAAAATGAGAAAGTAGTCACAGAGACTTCCAAACCACCTTGTTTTTTAGTTAATATGCACCAAGGTTTTGTGGGACTGGGAAGCATTTCAGATCAACTTCAAGAACCAGGAATGGAAAAGTAGATTAACAAAATTGATAATTGTCATAAGTAGTATGTTAGCAATTTCCCTGTGTGCCCAGCTTACATCACACTGGTGTTAAATAGTCTATCCCAAAAGTCCACAATTGCTGCAAATAATATTTTTTCACACCCCTTTTCATTATGGAGACATGTTCAAAAATACATTTGGTGCTCATGGGAAAAGATTTCCAGGCAGAATGTGCTTGATATAAAGTCCTTTATGACTTGGAACCAGGCTATTTGAAGGGACACATCTCCACATACAAGTATGGAGGAATTCCTGACAGTACTGTCTCCCTTACTTCAAATATGAATGTATTAAATCAAGGTCAGTACTCCAAAAGAACCAGTTATTGACTGATACTGGAAGCTAAGCAGGGCCAGGCCTTGTTAGTTCCCAAATGGGAGACTGCCATGGAATATCGGGTACTAGAGCACTGGTTCTCAACCTGTGGGTCCCCAGACGTTTTGGCCTTCAACTCCCAGAAATACTAACAGCTGGTAAACTAGTTGGGATTTCTGGGAGTTGTAGGCCAAAACATCTGGGGACGCACTGGTTGAGAACCACTGTACTAGAGCCTAGTTTTCAGGGTAAAGTGATGAGAAATCACCTGTGAGTATTTCTTGCCTAAGAAAACCCTATGAAATTTGTAGTGTTTTCTTAAGTCAACTGGCAACTGAAAGGTACATAAATACACAAACAAAACATATGTTTCGGAGCAGAGATTTGGGGTAAATATATTCCCATAATATCCATGAGATGAGCTGAGGACGATACTGGGAGTTGTAGGCTAAAAAGCAACTTCCCTAAGCTATGTTCCAGAGACATAAACAAGTAGTAATTGGGTGGCATTGGAGTCCCAGATAATGGAGACATCTGTACTAAGGATGCCTATGTTCCTGCTATGACGCCTTCTCACAGATGGACAAAGGATTTGGTTCTGTCCTCCTAACTTGGCTGGCTGCCTCAGTGTATAAAATTCTCTTGTTCCTCCAAATACTCTTGTTTCAAAAACAAGCTCAGATACATCCTTGTGCATTCTGTCTTTATGTCACTTATATATACTCCAACCACCACCGAGATCCATCAATTAGAGTCAGGTTTAAAAAGATGACTCAGGAATGTAGACGTTCATTAAGACATAAGGAATAGAGTGCCTCTGAGCACACAATCTTTCTGACAAATTATGATCTGTAGTGGAACCAAGTTCAAAGTCTTCTTGTTTATAGAGAATGAATTCCAGATGCCACTAAACCTTTAGGAACCTAATTTTGGGCAATGGTGGTGGGGAATGGATTCTAGTTATTGGTTACTCTTGGTAGCCAATTAGGAGTCACAAACAAAGCCTAAAATGCTATTTTTCCAGACTACATCTCTTAGCTTTCTCCTGCCAGCACAGGTATTGTCTAAACCAGGGGTCCTCAAACTTTTTAAACAGAGGGCCAGGTCACATTTCCTCAAAGTTGGAGGGCCGGATTATAATTTTAAAAAAGCATGGATTCCTATGCACACTGCACACATCTTATTTGTAGTGCAAAAAAAGAAGAACACTTAAAAACAATACAATAATTAAAACGAAGAACAATTTTAACAAATATAAACTTATTAGTATTTCAATAGGAAGTGTGGGCCTGCTTTTGGCTGTTCAGATAGGATTGTTGTTGTTGTTGTGTGCTTAATCCAGGGAGCGGGGTGAGCTCCCACTGTTAGCCCTAGGTTCTGCCAACCTAGAAGTTTGAAAACATGCAAATGTGAGTAGATCAATAGGCACTGCTCCAGCGGGAAGGCATCAGTCCTCCATGCAGTTATGCCGGCCACATGACCTTGGAGGCGTCTATGGACAACGCTGGCTCTTTGGTTTAGAAATAGAGATGAGAACCAACCTCCAGAGTCAGATGTGACTAGATTTAACATCAAGGGGAACGCTTTACCTTTAATAAAATGGCAGCAGAAGAATATTGCAACTTCTTAGTGGACGACTGAGTAAAACTGTTCTTTTTGCATACACCTCCACCATTGTATTCCTTTGATACCCCTAAATGCCAATGGCCTGAACTCTGACTTTGCTTTGAACTGTTCTTTGCTACAAGGCTTATTGAGGGTTTTCCTCCTCTGGGCATTAATAGGATTATTGATATTTATCCCTTCCCTTGCATTCCATGACAAGAATTTTAGCAGCATAGTTATCAATCCTTCGTTGCTCTAGGCAAACATTCTCTTTATTGTGTATTATGCACACCTTCTCTCCAAGAGGAAAAACATTCGTAGTCTTTCCCAGTCTCTTCTGGTGGCACTAGTCTCTCCGTTGCTATTTGCCCGAAAGCCCCCTTTCTGCCTTTTGCCCTAATCTGTTTGCAAGAGCCCATGGCTACACACTCAACTGTTTGTAATATAGTAAAATGATAGGCCTGTGCGGTTTCGTTCGTTAATTTTGTAATTCGTTAAACATTCGTTAATTTTTGCATTTACGAAACGATAACAAAACACTTTTTTAAACCCGGAAGGGTTTAAAAATAACGAGGCGGCATCCCCCATCCTTTTAACGGGTTTCCGCCCGTTTCGGAAATTGGATGGAGGATGCTGCTGGTGCCTGAATCCGGCGCCCCTTTCTCTTTGCCCCGCCCCTCCCCCGCGAGTGCGCTTTGCCTCCTTGCTTGCTTGCTTGGCTTGGCTTTCCCTTCCCGGCAGAAGGATGGCGAGCAGCGCAGCGACTGCTGCAGCCGCGGCTGCGGCGGCCGAGAAGGAGGCGAGCCAGCAGAGCAGCCTGGGCGCCTACTCGCCCGTGGATTACATGAGCAGCTTTCCCCGGCTGCCCGAGGAGGAGGCGGCGGCGGCAGGAGGAGGAGGGGGCTCGGAGAGCTACCTCCGCTCCCGCAAGGAGGAGGATGCCTTCCTCGGGGAGCAGGAGACCGGTGAGAGCGGGAAGGAGGGAAACACCCGCTTGCCTGCCTGCCTGCCTGCCTCCATCCTCCCTCCATCCACGCATCCACGCATCCATCCTCCTCCGAGCATCTTCTCCCTTGGATCATGCCCCCTTCCTGCGTCATCCCACCCTCAAAGCTCCTGGCACCTGCCCAGGGCTCTTCCATGGTGCAGGCTCCCCTGCAGCCAAGGCCACCCTCCTCCTTGCCTCCCTCCCTCCTTCTCCCCTTTCCCTCCTCCCTCCCATGTCAAGCATCCTCTGATCTTCACCAAGGACTCCCAAACTCCTCCTCCTCCTCCTCTTCCTCCTCCTCCTCTAAGGGCTTTGGAGTTCAACTCCCAGTGGGGACCCCCAAAGGTCATCCAGTCCATCCCCCTTGTTTAGAAGCAAGTTGAGGGAGCCCCCTTAACGAATCGACCCCGTGGCAATAACGTAAGCTTCGGAAATGTTTTGCGCATGCGCGCGGGGGTCCGCCACCTTTACAAAATGTTTTGTAAATATTTACGAAATTTCGTAAATACCGAAACTTTTTGGGAAAATTTTGTAATTATTTTAAATATCGAAACAAAAAAACACCCCAATTACAAATCGATTTTAGAACCAAATTTTTTCTTGATCAACCAGCCCTATAAAATGATAGAAGTATGCCACAAATTATGCCACATCTATTATTGGTGCAAATCCAGGAACATGTACTGAATTTTTACATGTTCAAAAAGAACAAGGAAATCAGTTTATGTAACCAGTTTTTGTCATTATGCAAAAAATAATTAATTCCCACATTTCCAGACACTAGCA